ACACACACAGAGACACACAGAAACACTCAGACACACTCAGACACACACACACACAGAGACAAACAGAGACACACAGAGACACACACACACACAGAGACACAGAGAGACACAGAGACACACACAGAGACAGCATGGCGACACGGTGTCCCTCCTGGGTGAGACGTGCAGCTAGCCAGCCTGCCGTGCGTCTTGTCTATACAGAGAGACAGAGACACACACAGAGACACACACACAGAGACACACACACAGAGACACACACACAGAGACACACACACAGAGACACACACAGAGACACACACACACAGAGACACACACACACAGAGACACACACAGAGACACACACAGAGACACACACACAGAGACACTCACACACAGAGACACACACACACAGAGACACACACACACACAGACACACACACACAGACACACACACACACAGACACACACACACACACACAGACACACACACACACACACAGAGACACACACAGACACACACAGAGACACACACAGAGACACACACAGACACACACAAAGACACACACAGAGACACACACACAGAGAAACACACACAGAGACACACACACACAGACACACACAGAGACACACACAGACACACACACATACACAGACACACACAGAGACACACAGAGACACACAGACACACACAGACACACACACAGACACACACACACACAGACACACACACACAGACACACACACAGACACACACACACACAGACACACAGAGACACACAGAGACACACACACAGACAGCATGGCGACACGGTGTCCTTCCTGGGTGAGACGGGCAGCTAGCCAGCCTGCCGTGCGTCTTGTCTATACACACAGAGACACACAGAGAGACACAGAGAGACACACAGAGACACACACAGACATAGACACACACACAGAGACACACACAGACACACACAGAGAGACACACACACACAGAGACACACACACAGAGACACAGAGAGACACACACACAGACACACACACAGACACACACACAGAGACACACACACAGAGAGACACACACAGACACACACAGACAGACACACACAGAGACACTCAGAGACACACACTCAGAGACACACACTCAGAGACACACACACAGAGACACACACAGAGACACACACAGAGACACACACAGAGACACACACACACAGAGACAAACACACACACAGAGACACACACAGAGACACACACACACAGAGACAAACACACACACAGAGACACACACAGAGACACACACACAGATACCACCACCACCATCTCAACCACCACCACCACCACCACCTCCACCACCACCACAACCACCACCACCATCTCCACCACCACAACCACCACCACTACCACCTCCACCACCACCACAACCACCACCACCACAACCACCATCACCACCACAACAACCACCACAACCACCACCGCCACTCACATGACAGAAGATCATAGCCTGAGCGATGGTGATGGCCCCGTAGATGTTGGAGATGGCGTGGAACTTGTCCTCTTGAGAACCACCACAACAACCACAACCACCACAACCACCACAACAACCACAACCACCACCACCACAACAACCACCACCACCACAACCACCACCACCACAACAACCACCACAACAACCACAACCACCACCACCACCATCACCACAACCACCACCACAACCACCACAACAACCACCACCACCATCACCACAACCACCACCACAACCACCACAACAACCACCACCACTACCACCACCACAACCACCACCACCACCACCATCACCACCATCTCCACCATCATCTCCACCACCACCACAACCATCTCCACCACCACCACAACCACCATCACCACCACCATCTCCACCACCACCATCTCCATCACCACCACCACCATCATCTCCACCACCACCATCACCACCACCACCACCATCACCGCCACCACCACCACTCACATGACAGAAGATCATAGCCTGAGCGATGGTGATGGCTCCGTAGATGTTGGAGATGGCGTGGAACTTGTCCTCTTGAGAACCACCACAACCACCACCACAACCACCACCACCACCATCACCACCACCATCTCCACCATCATCTCCACCATCATCTCCACCACCACCACCACCACCATCTCCACCACCACCACAACCACCATCACCACCACCATCTCCACCATCTCCACCATCATCTCCACCACCACCACCACCATCTCCACCACCACCACCACAACCACCACCACCGCCACTCACGTGACAGAAGATCATGGCCTGAGCGATGGTGATGGCCCCGTAGATGTTGGAGATGGCGTGGAACTTGTCCTCTTGAGAACCACCACAACCACCACCACAACCACCACAACCACCACAACAACCACCACCACAACAACAACCATCTCCACCACAACCACCACCACCACCACCGCCACCACCACCGCCACTCACGTGACAGAAGATCATGGCCTGAGCGATGGTGATGGCTCCGTAGATGTTGGAGATGGCGTGGAACTTGTCTTCTTGAGAACCACCACAACAACCATCACCACCACCATCACCACCACAACAACAACCATCTCCACCATCTCCACCACCACCATCACCACCACAACCACCACCACCACCATCACCACCACCACAACCACCACCACCACCACAACCACCACCACCGCCACTCACATGACAGAAGATCATGGCCTGAGCGATGGTGATGGCTCCGTAGATGTTGGAGATGGCGTGGAACTTGTCCTCCTGCGCGTCGCAGGCGATGTAGAGCTGCCGGATGTTGTCGAGCGTCTCCTCATCACGGCGGAGACGAATCACGTTGGGCTCCGGCACGACCTTCGTGGCAAATGCCCACACAGAGTCCTCAAAGGTCGCCGAGAACAGGAGCATCTGACAGTCAGGAGGCAGCATCCTGGGGAGGGTGGGACAACAATGACAACAACGACAACATCATCAACAACATCATCATCATCAACATCATCATCATCATCAACAACATCAACAACATCAACAACAACAACATCAACAACAACATCAACATCAACAACATCATCATCATCAACAACAACATCAACATCAACAACATCATCATCATCAACAACAACAACATCATCATCAACAACATCAACAACAACATCATCATCATCAACAACATCATCAACAAGAACAACATCAACAACAATAACAACATCAACATCATCAAGAACATCAAGAACATCAACAACAACATCAACAACAACATCATCAAGAACATCAACAACATCAACAACATCATCATCAACAACATCAACATCATCAACACCAACAACATCAACAACATCAACAACAACATCAACAACAATAACAACATCATCAAGAACATCAACAACATCAGAACTTACACACAGACAAAGGTCCTCCAGGTAGCCTCTAGCAGGCTGTAGGGGCAAGTGCTGTCAGTAGCACCTACACATAGACAAAGCTCCTCCAGGTAGCCTCTAGCAGGCTGTAGGGGCAAGTGCTGTTAGCAGTGACACCTACACACAGACCCCCCACCACCACCACCACCACCACCCCCACCACCACCACCCCCACCACCACCACCACCCCCACCCCCACCACCACCACCACCCCCACCACCACCACCACCACCACCACTACCATCACCACCACCACCACTACCATCACCACCACCATCACTACCACTCCCACCACCCCCACCACCACCACCATCACCACCACCGCCACCCCCACCACCACCGCCACCCCCACCACCATCACCACCACCACCCCCATCACCACCACCACCACCACCGTCACCACCACCACCACCCCCATCACCGTCACCACCACCACCACCCCCATCACCACCACCCCCACCTCTGTATGCGAATGCTTTGCTCTTTGTGCCCCTGCGTGGCGATCATGACATCCGCCTCGTCCAGGACAAACACGCGGACACGCCTGGGATCCACCACTCGCAGCTTGGAGCACCAGTCCAGGAGCGTGCCGGGCGTGCCGATGACGATGTGGTCCTCACATCTCACGCCACGCTCCACTGGGACACGGAGAGAGACACGGTGAGAGACAGAGAGACACAGAGAGCCAGAGAGAGACAGTGAGAGAGAGAGAGACACGGTGAGTGAGACAGAGACACGGTGAGAGAGAGAGAGACACAGAGACACTGTGAGTGAGAGAGAGACACGGTGAGAGAGAGAGAGACACAGAGACACGGTGAGAGAGAGACACGGTGAGAGAGAGAGAGAGGGATCCACCACTCGCAGCTTGGAGCACCAGTCCAGCAGGGTGCCGGGCATGCCGATGACGATGTGGTCCTCACATCTCACGCCACGCTCCACTGGGACACGGAGAGAGACACGGTGAGACAGAGAGAGACACAGAGAGAGAGAGAGACACGGTGAGAGACACAGAGACACGGTGAGAGAGAGAGAGACACAGAGAGAGAGAGAGGGATCCACCACTCGCAGCTTGGAGCACCAGTCCAGGAGCGTGCCGGGCGTGCCGATGACGATGTGGTCCTCACATCTCACGCCACGCTCCACTGGGACACGGAGAGAGACACACGGAGAGAGACACAGACAGAGACAGAGAGAGACACAGAGACACGGTGAGAGAGACACGGTGAGAGAGAGAGAGGGATCCACCACTCGCAGCTTGGAGCACCAGTCCAGCAGGGTGCAGGGCGTGCCGATGACGATGTGGTCCTCACATCTCACACCACGCTCCACTGGGACACGGAGAGAGACACGGAGAGAGACACAGAGACACGGTGAGAGAGAGAGAGACACAGAGAGACAGAGAGGGATCCACCACTCGCAGCTTGGAGCACCAGTCCAGGAGCGTGCCGGGCGTGCCGATGACGATGTGGTCCTCACATCTCACGCCACGCTCCACTGGGACACGGAGAGAGACACAGAGACACGGAGAGAGACACAGAGACACGGTGAGTGAGAGAGACACAGAGACACGGTGAGAGAGACACGGTGAGACAGAGAGAGACACAGAGAGAGAGAGAGACACGGTGAGAGACACAGAGACACGGTGAGAGAGAGAGAGACACAGAGAGACAGAGAGGGATCCACCACTCGCAGCTTGGAGCACCAGTCCAGCAGGGTGCCGGGCGTGCCGATGACGATGTGGTCCTCACATCTCACGCCACGCTCCACTGGGACACGGAGAGAGACAGAGACACGGTGAGAGAGACACACGGTGAGACAGAGAGAGACACGGTGAGAGAGAGACACGGTGAGAGACAGAGAGAGACACGGTGAGACATGGAGAGAGAGACACGGTGAGAGAGAGAGACACGGAGAGAGACACAGAGACACGGAGAGAGACACAGAGACACGGTTAGAGAGAGAGAGACACGGTGAGAGAGAGAGAGAGGGATCCACCACTCGCAGCTTGGAGCACCAGTCCAGGAGCGTGCCGATGAGGTCCTCACATCGCACGCCACGCTCCACTAGGACACGGCATGAGAGAGAGAGACAGAGAGACACGGTGAGAGAGAGACACGGTGAGAGAGAGAGAGACGGTGAGAGAGAGAGAGACACGGTGAGAGAGAGAGAGAGAGACACGGTGAGAGAGAGACACGGTGAGAGAGACAGAGAGAGACACGGTGAGAGAGAGACACGGTGAGAGAGAGAGAGACAGAGAGAGAGAGACACGGTGAGAGAGACACGGTGAGAGAGAGAGACAGAGAGAGAGAGAGACACGGTGAGAGAGACACGGTGAGAGAGAGACACGGTGAGAGAGAGACACGGTGAGAGAGAGAGACAGAGAGAGAGAGACGGTGAGAGAGACACGGTGAGAGAGAGAGACAGAGAGAGAGAGAGAGACGGTGAGAGAGAGACAGAGAGAGAGAGAGACAGAGTGAGAGAGACACGGTGAGAGAGAGACACGGTGAGAGAGAGACACAGTGAGACACGGTGAGAGAAACACGGTGAGACACACGGTGAGAGAGACACGGAGACAGAGAGACACGGCGAGAGACAGAGAGAGACACGGTGAGAGAGAGACACGGTGAGAGAGACAGAGAGACACGGTGAGAGAGAGAGACACGGTGAGACACGGTGAGAGAGACACGGTGAGACACACGGTGAGAGAGAGACACCGTGAGAGAGACACGGAGAGAGAGAGACACGGCGAGAGACAGAGAGAGACATGGTGAGACAGAGAGACACGGTGAGAGAGAGACACAGTGAGACACACGGTGAGAGAGAGACACCGTGAGAGAGACACGGAGAGAGAGAGACACGGTGAGAGAGAGAGACACGGAGAGACAGAGAGACACGGTGAGAGAGAGACACAGTGAGACACACGGTCTGAGTGAGTGAGTGTATGAGTGAGTGTCTGAGTGAGTGTTTGAGTGAGTGTATGAGTGAGTGAGTGTATGAGTGAGTGAGTGTCTAAGTGAGTGAGTGTATGAGTGAGTGAGAGTCTGAGTGAGAGTCTGAGTGTCTGAGTGAGTGTCTGAGTGAGTGAGTGAGTGTCTGAGTGTCTGACTGAGTGAGTATCTGAGAGAGTGTCTGAGTGAGTGTCTGAGTGTCTAAGTAAGTGTCTGAGTGTCTCACCTCTGTTCCCACGCACGGCGTATGCCAGACGGATCTCCGGACAGAATTGCCCCATTTGGGTGATGACGGAGCCGGTTTGCAGTGCCAACTCGTACGTCGGGGACACACACAGACACTGAGACACACACACACACACATGGTTATACACACAGACACTGAGACACACACACACAGACACTGAGACACACACACAGACACACACATGGTTATACACACACACACACACAGACACTGAGACACACACACAGACACACACACAGACACACACAGACACTGAGACACACACACAGACACACACACAGACACACACATGGTTATACACACACACACACAGACACTGAGACACACACACACAGACACACACACACACACAGACACACACAGACACTGAGACACACACACAGACACACACACAGACACACACATGGTTATACACACACACACACAGACACTGAGACACACACACACAGACACACAGACACACACACACACAGACACACACACACAGACACGGACACACACACAAACGCACACACACACACAGACACACATGGTTATACACACACACACAGACACTGAGACACACACACACAGACACACAGACACACACACACACATACAGACACACAGACACACACACATGGTTATACACACACACGGTTAAACACACACACTGAGACACACACACACAGACACACACACATGGTTATACACACACACAGACACTGACACACACACACACAAACACAGACACACACATGGTTATACACACACACAGACACTGACACACACAGACACACCCACACAGACACACACACACACAGATACACACAGTGACACACACAGTGACACACACACAGTGACACACACAGTGACACACCCACAGTGACACACACACAGTGACACACACAGTCACACACACACAGACACACACACACACACACAGACACACACACACACAGTGACACACACACAGACACACACACAGACACACACACAGACACACACACACAGTGACACACACACAGTGACACACACACAGTGACACACACACACAGTGACACACACACAGTCACACACACAGACACACACACAGACACACACACAGTGACACACACAGTGACACACACACAGTGACACACACACAGTGACACACACACAGTGACACACACACAGACACACACTAACAGACACACACACACAGACACACACACACAGTCACACACACAGTGACACACACAGTGACACACACAGTGACACACACACACAGTCACACACACAGTGACACACACACAGAAACACACACACAGTGACACACACACACAGAAACACACACACAGTCACACACACACACACACAGACACACACACAGTGACACACAGTCACACACACAGTGACACACACAGTGACACACACACAGTGACACACACAGTGACACACACACAGTGACACACACACAGACACACACACACAGACACACACACACAGTGACACACACAGTGACACACACACACAGTCACACACACAGTGACACACACAGTGACACACACAGTGACACACACACACAGTCACACACACAGTGACACACACACAGAAACACACACACAGTGACACACACACACAGAAACACACACACAGTCACACACACACACACACAGACACACACACAGTGACACACAGTGACACACACGCACACACAGTGACACACACACAGTGACACACACACAGTGACACACACAGTGACACACACACAGACACACACACACACACAGACACACACACAGTGACACACAGTGACACACACAGTGACACACAGACACACACACAGTGACACACACAGTGACACACACACAGTGACACACACACAGTGACACACACACAGACACACACACACACACACAGACACACACACAGTGACACACAGTCACACACACAGTGACACACAGACACACACACAGTGACACACACAGTGACACACACAGACAGAGACCTGTGGGTAGTTGAGGTCGGGGTTGATGCGACTCAGCATCGCCAAGACAAAGGCGGCCGTCTTCCCCGTGCCTGACTGAGACTGAGCAATCAGATTCTGGGGTCTGAGAGAGACACGGGGGGGTGGAGAGAGACACGGGGTGAGACACGGGGGGGGGGAGAGACACGGGGAGAGAGACACGGGGGGTGGGAGAGACACGGGGGGTGGAGAGAGACACGGGGTGAGACACGGGGGGAGAGAGAGACACGGGGAGAGAGACACGGGGTGAGACACGGGGGGGGGGGGGGGAGAGACACGGGGAGAGAGACACGAGGGGGTGGGAGAGACACGGGGGGAGAGAGAGACACGGGGGAGAGAGACACGGGGTGAGACACGGGGGGGGGGAGAGACACGGGGAGAGAGACACGGGGGGTGGGAGAGACACGGGGGGAGAGTCACGGGGGAGAGAGACACGGGGTGAGACACGGGGGAGAGAGAGACGGGGAGAGAGACACGGGGGAGAGAGACACGGGGGAGAGAGACACGGGGGAGAGGGACACGGGGGAGAGAGACACGGGGGAGAGAGACACGGGGGGAGCGACACGGGGGAGAGACACGGGGGAGAGACACGGGGAGAGAGACACGGGGGGGGGAGAGAGACACGGGGAGAGAGACACGGGGGGGGAGACACGGGGGGGAGACACGGGGGGGAGACACGGGGAGAGAGACACGGGGGGGGAGAGAGACACGGGGAGAGAGACACGGGGGGGGAGAGACACGGGGGGGGAGACACGGGGGGGAGACACGGGGGGAGAGAGACACGGGGGGGGAGACACGGGGGGGAGACACGGGGGGAGAGAGACACGGGGGGGGAGACACGGGTGGGAGAAACACGGGGAGAGAGACACGGGGGGGGAGAGAAACGGGGGGAGAGACACGGGGAGAGAGAGACACGGGGGGAGAGACACGGGGGGGAGAGACACGGGGAGAGAGACACGGGGGGGGAGACACGGGGAGAGAGACACGGGGGGAGACACACGGGGAGAGAGACACGGGGGGTGAGACACGGGGGAGAGACACGGGGAGAGAGACACGGGGAGAGAGACACGGGGAGAGAGACACGGGGGGTGAGACACGCGGGAGAGACACGGGGGAGAGACACGGGGGGAGAGACACGGGGGGGGAGACACGGGGGGGGAGACACGGGGGGAGAGACACGGGGGAGAGAGACACGGGGAGAGAGACACGGGGGGTGAGACACGCGGGAGAGACACGGGGGAGAGACACGGGGGGAGAGACACGGGGGGGGAGACACGGGGGGGGAGACACGGGGGGAGAGACACGGGGGAGAGAGACACGGGGGAGAGACACGGGGGAGAGAGACACGGGGAGAGAGAAACACGGGGGGAGAGACACGGGGGGAGAGAGACACGGGGGGAGAGAGACACGGGGGGAGAGAGAGACACGGGGGAGAGAGACACGGGGAGAGAGACACGGGGTGAGACACGGGGGGTAAGACACGGGGAGAGAGAGCCACGGGGGGGGAGAGACACGGGGGGTGAGACACAGAGGAGAGAGACACGGGGAGAGAGACACGGGGGGAGAGACACGGGGGGGGGAGAGACACGGGGGGAGAGACACGGGGGGAGAGAGACACGGGGGGAGAGACACGGGGAGAGAGACACGGGGGGGGAGAGACACGGGGGGTGAGACACAGGGGAGAGAGACACGGGGGGAGAGAGACACGTGGGGAGAGAGACACGGGGGGAGAGACACGGGGAGAGAGAGACACGGGGAGAGAGAGACACGGGGGGGGGAGAGACACGGGGAGAGAGACACGGGGGGGGAGACACGAGGAGAGAGACACGGGGGGAGAGAGAGACGGGGAGAGAGACACGGGGAGACACGGGGGGAGAGACACGGGGGGAGAGACACGGGGGGAGAGAGACACGGGGGAGAGAGACACGGGGGAGAGAGACACGGGGGAGAGAGACACGGGGGAGAGAGACACGGGGGAGAGAGACACGGGGGAGAGAGACACGGGGGAGAGAGACACGGGGAGAGAGACACGGGGGGGAGAGACACGGGGGGGAGAGACACGGGGGGAGAGACACGGGGGGAGAGACACGGGGGGAGAGACACGGGGGGTGAGAGAGACATGGGGGGTGAGAGAGACACGGGTAGAGAGAGACACGGGGGGTGAGACACAGGGGGGGAGAGACACGGGGGGTGAGAGACACGGGGGGGAGAGAGACACGGGGGGTGAGACACGGGGGGTGAGACACGGGGGGTGAGACACGGGGGGTGAGACACGGGGGGTGAGACACGGGGAGAGAGACACGGGGAGAGAGACACGGGGGGGAGAGAGACACGGGGGGTGAGACACGGGGGGTGAGACACGGGGGGTGAGACACGGGGAGAGAGACACGGGGAGAGAGACACGGGGTGAGAGAGACACGGGGAGAGAGACACGGGGTGAGAGAGACACGGGGTGAGAGAGACACGGGGAGAGAGAGACACGGGGGGGTGAGACACGGGGGGTGAGACACGGGGGGTGAGACACGGGGAGAGACACGGGGAGAGAGACACGGGGTGAGAGAGACACGGGGAGAGAGACACGGGGTGAGAGAGACACGGGGAGAGAGACACGGGGGGTGAGACACGGGGGGTGAGACACGGGGAGAGAGAGACATGGGGGGTGAGACACGGGGGGGGGAGAGACACGGGGAGAGAGACACGGGGGGGGAGAGAGACACGGGGGAGAGGGAGACACGGGGGAGAGAGACACGGGGGGGAGAGACACGGGGAGAGAGACACGGGGAGAGGGAGACACGGGGGAGAGAGAGACACGGGGGGGGGAGAGAGACACGGGGGGGAGAGACACGGGGAGAGAGACACGGGGGAGAGGGAGACACGGGGGAGAGAGACACGGGGGGGAGAGACACGGGGGGTGAGAGAGACACGAGGGGTGAGAGAGACACGGGGGGGGGAGAGAGACACGGGTAGAGAGAGACACGGGGGGAGAGACACGGGGGAGAGGGAGACACGGGGGGAGAGAGACACGGGGGGGGAGAGAGACACGGGGGGTGAGACACGGGGGGGTGGGGGGGGAGACAATGCTACAGACACTACCACCCCCACTACCACCACCACCCCCACCACCACCACATGCACGGTAACCCACGGTAACCCACGGTAACCCACGGTAACCCACGGTAACACAAGATAACCCACGGTAACCCACGGTAACCCACGGTAACACACGGTAACACAAGATAACCCACGGTAACCCACGGTAACCCACGGTAACCCACGGTAACCCACGGTAACCCACGGTAACCCACGGTAACTCACGGTAACCCACGGTAACTCACGGGTCTGCGAGCATCATGGGTAGAGCGCTCTCCTGGATCCGGGAGGGCCGATTAAACCCCATCTTGTGTACACCCTGTAGCAGATTACTCTTCCTGTAAACAACAACAACAACCACAACAACAACAACCAGATTACTCCTCCTGTAAACAACAACAACAACACAGTGAGTGTTAAACCCCATCTTGTGTACACCCTGCAGCAGGTTACTCTTCCTGTAAACAACAACAACAACAACCACAACAACAACCACAACAACAACACAGTGAGTGACACAGTGAGTGTTAAACCCCATCTTGTGTACACCCTGTAGCAGATTACTCTTCCTGTAAACAACAACAACAACCACAACAACAACAACCAGATTACTCCTCCTGTAAACAACAACAACAACACAGTGAGTGTTAAACCCCATCTTGTGTACACCCTGCAGCAGGTTACTCTTCCTGTAAACAACAACAACAACAACAACCAGATTACTCCTCCTGTAAACAACAACAACAACACAGTGAGTATTAAACCCCATCTTGTGTACACCCTGTAGCAGGTTACTCTTCCTGTAAACAACAACAACCACAACAACAACAACCAGATTACTCTTCCTGTAAACAACAACAACAACAACACAGTGAGTGACACAGTGAGTGACACAGTGAGTATTAAACCCCATCTTGTGTACACCCTGCAGCAGGTTACTCTTCCTGTTAACAACAACAACAACCACAACAACAACAACAACACAGTGAGTGACACAGTGAGTGTTAAACCCCATCTTGTGTACACCCTGCAGCAGGTTACTCTTCCTGTAAACAACAACAACAACAACAACAACAACAACACAGTGAGTGACACAGTGAGTGTTAAACCCCATCTTGTGTACACCCTGCAGCAGGTTACTCTTCCTGTAAACAACAACAACAACAACCACAACCACAACAACAACCACAACAACAACACAGTGAGTGACACAGTGAGTGACACAGTGAGTGACACAGTGAGTGACACAGTGAGTATTAAACCCCATCTTGTGTACACCCTGTAGCAGGTTACTCTTCCTGTTAACAACAACCACAACAACCACAACAACAACAACAACAACCAGATTACTCTTCCTGTAAACAACAACAACCACAACCAGATTACTCCTCCTGTAAACAACAACAACAACACAGTGAGTGACACAGTGAGTGACACAGTGAGTATTAAACCCCATCTTGTGTACACCCTGTAGCAGATTACTCTTCCTGTTAACAACAACAACAACAACCAGATTACTCCTCCTGTAAACAACAACAACAACACAGTGAGTGACACAGTGAGTGACACAGTGAGTATTAAACCCCATCTTGTGTACACCCTGTAGCAGATTACTCTTCCTGTTAACAACAACAACAACAACAACCACAACAACAACAACACAGTGAGTGACACAGTGAGTATTAAACCCCATCTTGTGTACACCCTGTAGCAGGTTACTCTTCCTGTTAACAACAACAACAACAACCACAACCACAACAACAACCAGATTACTCTTCCTGTTAACAACAACAACAACAACAACCACAACAACAACAACAACACAGTGAGTGACACAGTGAGTGACACAGTGAGTGTTAAACCCCATCTTGTGTACACCCTGCAGCAGGTTACTCCTCCTGTAAACAACAACAACAACAACACAGTGAGTGACACAGTGAGTGACACAGTGAGTGACACAGTGAGTGACACAGTGAGTGACACAGTGAGTGAGTGACACAGTGAGTGACACAGTGAGTGACACAGTGAGTGTTAAACCCCATCTTGTGTACACCCTGCAGCAGGTTACTCCTCCTGTAAACAACAACAACAACAACACAGTGAGTGACACAGTGAGTGACACAGTGAGTGACACAGTGAGTGACACAGTGAGTGACACAGTGAGTGAGTGACACAGTGAGTGACACAGTGAGTGACACAGTGAGTGTTAAACCCCATCTTGTGTACACCCTGCAGCAGGTTACTCTTCCTGTTAACAACAACAACAACAACCACAACAACAACAACAACACAGTGAGTGACACAGTGAGTGACACAGTGAGTGTTAAACCCCATCTTGTGTACACCCTGCAGCAGGTTACTCTTCCTGTAAACAACAACAACAACAACAACCAGATTACTCTTCCTGTTAACAACAACAACCACAACAACAACAACAACACAGTGAGTGACACAGTGAGTGACACAGTGAGTGTTAAACCCCATCTTGTGTACACCCTGCAGCAGGTTACTCTTCCTGTTAACAACAACAACAACCACAACAACAACAACAACACAGTGAGTGACACAGTGAGTGACACAGTGAGTGACACAGTGAGTATTAAACCCCATCTTGTGTACACCCTGCAGCAGGTTACTCTTCCTGTTAACAACAACAACAACAACCACAACAACAACCACAACAACAACACAGTGAGTGACACAGTGAGTGACACAGTGAGTGTTAAACCCCATCTTGTGTACACCCTGCAGCAGGTTACTCTTCCTGTTAACAACAACAACAACAACCACAACAACAACCACAACAACAACACAGTGAGTGACACAGTGAGTGACACAGTGAGTGTTAAACCCCATCTTGTGTACACCCTGCAGCAGGTTACTCTTCCTGTTAACAACAACACAGTGAGTGACACAGTGAGTGACACAGTGAGTGACACAGTGAGTATTAAACCCCATCTTGTGTACACCCTGCAGCAGGTTACTCTTCCTGTAAACAACAACAACCACAACAACAACCACAACAACAACAACACAGTGAGTGACACAGTGAGTGACACAGTGAGTATTAAACCCCATCTTGTGTACACCCTGCAGCAGGTTACTCTTCCTGTAAACAACAACAACAACAACAACAACCAGATTACTCTTCCTGTAAACAACAACAACAACCACAACAACAACCAGATTACTCTTCCTGTAAACAACAACAACAACCAGATTACTCTTCCTGTAAACAACAACAACAACAACACAGTGAGTGACACAGTGAGTGTTAAACCCCATCTTGTGTACACCCTGCAGCAGGTTACTCTTCCTGTAAACAACAACAACAATAACCACAGTGAGTGACACAGTGAGTGACACAGTGAGTGAGTGACACAGTGAGTGACACAGTGAGTATTAAACCCCATCTTGTGTACACCCTGCAGCAGATTACTCTTCCTGTAAACAACAACAACAACCAGATTACTCTTCCTGTTAACAACAACAACAACAACACAGTGAGTGACACAGTGAGTGACACAGTGAGTGACACAGTGAGTATTAAACCCCATCTTGTGTACACCCTGCAGCAGGTTACTCTTCCTGTAAACAACAACAACAACAACACAGTGAGTGACACAGTGAGTGACACAGTGAGTGACACAGTGAGTGACACAGTGAGTGACACAGTGAGTGTTAAACCCCATCTTGTGTACACCCTGCAGCAGGTTACTCTTCCTGTTAACAACAACAACAACCACAACCAGATTACTCCTCCTGTAAACAACAACAACAACAACAACAACCACCACAACAACCACCAGATTACTCTTCCTGTAAACAACAACAACAACAACACAGTGAGTGACACAGTGAGTGACACAGTGAGTGACACAGTGAGTATTAAACCCCATCTTGTGTACACCCTGTAGCAGGTTACTCTTCCTGTTAACAACAACAACACAGTGAGTGACACTGAGTGACACAGTGAGTGAGTGACACAGTGAGTGACACAGTGAGTATTAAACCCCATCTTGTGTACACCCTGTAGCAGGTTACTCTTCCTGTTAACAACAACAACACAGTGAGTGACACAGTGAGTGACACAGTGAGTGACACAGTGAGTGACACAGTGAGTATTAAACCCCATCTTGTGTACACCCTGCAGCAGGTTACTCTTCCTGTAAACAACAACAACAACAACCACAACAACAACCACAACAACAACACAGTGAGTGACACAGTGAGTGACACAGTGAGTGACACAGTGAGTGAGTGACACAGTGAGTGACACAGTGAGTGAGTGACACAGTGAGTGACACAGTGAGTGACACAGTGAGTGAGTGACACAGTGAGTGACACAGTGAGTGACACAGTGAGTGTTAAACCCCATCTTGTGTACACCCTGTAGGAGATTACTCCTCCTGTAAACAACAACAACAACAACCACAACACAGTGAGTGACACAGTGAGTGACACAGTGAGTATTAAACCCCATCTTGTGTACACCCTGCAGCAGGTTACTCCTCCTGTAAACAACAACAACAACAACAACACAGTGAGTGACACAGTGAGTGAGTGACACAGTGAGTGACACAGTGAGTGTTAAACCCCATCTTGTGTACACCCTGCAGCAGATTACTCTTCCTGTAAACAACAACAACCACAACAACAACCACAACAACAACACAGTGAGTGACACAGTGAGTGACACAGTGAGTGACACAGTGAGTGACACAGTGAGTGACACAGTGAGTGTTAAACCCCATCTTGTGTACACCCTGCAGCAGATTACTCCTCCTGTAAACAACAACAACAACAACCAGATTACTCCTCCTGTAAACAACAACAACAACACAGTGAGTGACACAGTGAGTGACACAGTGAGTGAGTGACACAGTGAGTGAGTGACACAGTGAGTGACACAGTGAGTGTTAAACCCCATCTTGTGTACACCCTGCAGCAGATTACTCCTCCTGTAAACAACAACAACAACACAGTGAGTGACACAGTGAGTGACACAGTGAGTGACACAGTGAGTGACACAGTGAGTGACACAGTGAGTGACACAGTGAGTGAGTGACACAGTGAGTGACACAGTGAGTGACACAGTGAGTGACACAGTGAGTGTTAAACCCCATCTTGTGTACACCCTGCAGCAGATTACTCTTCCTGTAAACAACAACCACAACAACAACCAGATTACTCTTCCTGTAAACAACAACAACAACCACAACAACAACAACAACCAGATTACTCCTCCTGTAAACAACAACAACAACCACAACAACAACAACCAGATTACTCCTCCTGTAAACAACAACAACACAGTGAGTGACACAGTGAGTGACACAGTGAGTGACACAGTGAGTGAGTGACACAGTGAGTGACACAGTGAGTGTTAAACCCCATCTTGTGTACACCCTGCAGCAGATTACTCTTCCTGTAAACAACAACAACAACAACACAGTGAGTGACACAGTGAGTGACACAGTGAGTGACACAGTGAGTGACACAGTGAGTGTTAAACCCCATCTTGTGTACACCCTGCAGCAGATTACTCCTCCTGTAAACAACAACAACAACAACCAGATTACTCTTCCTGTAAACAACAACAACAACAACACAGTGAGTGACACAGTGAGTGACACAGTGAGTGACACAGTGAGTGTTAAACCCCATCTTGTGTACACCCTGCAGCAGATTACTCCTCCTGTAAACAACAACAACAACAACCAGATTACTCTTCCTGTAAACAACAACAACAACAACAACACAGTGAGTGACACAGTGAGTGACACAGTGAGTGACACAGTGAGTGTTAAACCCCATCTTGTGTACACCCTGCAGCAGATTACTCCTCCTGTAAACAACAACAACAACAACCACAACAACAACACAGTGAGTGACACAGTGAGTGAGTGACACAGTGAGTGACACAGTGAGTGACACAGTGAGTGTTAAACCCCATCTTGTGTACACCCTGCAGCAGATTACTCTTCCTGTAAACAACAACAACAACAACAACCAGATTACTCTTCCTGTAAACAACAACAACAACCACAACAACAACCACAACAACAACCACAACAACAACCAGATTACTCTTCCTGTAAACAACAACAACAACCACAACAACCAGATTACTCTTCCTGTAAACAACAACAACAACAACAACCAGATTACTCTTCCTGTAAACAACAACAACAACAACCACAACAACAACAACAACACAGTGAGTGACACAGTGAGTGACACAGTGAGTGACACAGTGAGTGAGTGACACAGTGAGTGACACAGTGAGTGTTAAACCCCATCTTGTGTACACCCTGCAGCAGATTACTCTTCCTGTAAACAACAACAACAACCAGATTACTCTTCCTGTAAACAACAACAACAACAACCACAACAACCACAACAACAACCAGATTACTCTTCCTGTAAACAACAACAACAACAACCACAACAACCACAACCACAACAACAACAACCAGATTACTCCTCCTGTAAACAACAACAACAACAACAACCAGATTACTCTTCCTGTAAACAACAACCACAACAACAACAACAACCACAACAACAACCACAACAACAACAACAACCAGATTACTCTTCCTGTAAACAACAACAACAACCAGATTACTCCTCCTGTAAACAACAACAACAACCACAACAACAACAACAACCAGATTACTCTTCCTGTAAACAACAACAACAACCACAACAACCAGATTACTCTTCCTGTAAACAACAACAACCAGATTACTCTTCCTGTAAACAACAACAACAACCACAACAACAACAACAACACAGTGAGTGACACAGTGAGTGACACAGTGAGTGACACAGTGAGTGAGTGACACAGTGAGTGACACAGTGAGTGTTAAACCCCATCTTGTGTACACCCTGCAGCAGATTACTCTTCCTGTAAACAACAACAACAACCACAACAACAACAACAACACAGTGAGTGACACAGTGAGTGACACAGTGAGTGACACAGTGAGTGTTAAACCCCATCTTGTGTACACCCTGCAGCAGATTACTCTTCCTGTAAACAACAACAACAACAACAACAACAACAACAACCAGATTACTCCTCCTGTAAACAACAACAACAACCACAACAACAACAACAACCAGATTACTCTTCCTGTAAACAACAACAACAACCAGATTACTCTTCCTGTAAACAACAACAACAACAACCAGATTACTCTTCCTGTAAACAACAACAACAACAACAACCACAACAACCACAACAACAACCAGATTACTCTTCCTGTAAACAACAACAACAACAACAACAACCACAACAACCACAACAACAACAACAACCAGATTACTCCTCCTGTAAACAACAACAACAACAACAACCAGATTACTCTTCCTGTAAACAACAACCACAACAACAACAACAACCACAACAACAACCACAACAACAACAACCAGATTACTCTTCCTGTAAACAACAACAACAACCAGATTACTCTTCCTGTAAACAACAACAACAACCACAACAACAACCAGATTACTCTTCCTGTAAACAACAACCACAACACAGTGAGTGACACAGTGAGTGACACAGTGAGTGACACAGTGAGTGACACTGAGTGACACAGTGAGTGAGTGACACAGTGAGTGACACAGTGAGTGTTAAACCCCATCTTGTGTACACCCTGCAGCAGATTACTCTTCCTGTAAACAACAACAACAACAACCAGATTACTCTTCCTGTAAACAACAACAACAACAACCACAACAACCAGATTACTCCTCCTGTAAACAACAACAACCAGATTACTCCTCCTGTAAACAACAACAACAACAACAACCACAACAACAACAACAACACAGTGAGTGACACAGTGAGTGACACAGTGAGTGACACAGTGAGTGACACAGTGAGTGTTAAACCCCATCTTGTGTACACCCTGCAGCAGATTACTCTTCCTGTAAACAACAACAACAACCAGATTACTCTTCCTGTAAACAACAACCACAACCACAACAACCAGATTACTCTTCCTGTAAACAACAACAACCACAACAACCAGATTACTCTTCCTGTAAACAACAACAACAACAACAACCAGATTACTCTTCCTGTAAACAACAACAACAACCACAACAACAACCACAACAACAACCACAACAACAACCAGATTACTCTTCCTGTAAACAACAACAACAATAACAACCAGATTACTCTTCCTGTAAACAACAACAACAACAACAACAACCACAACAACACAGTGAGTGACACAGTGAGTGACAGTGAGTGTTAAACCCCATCTTGTGTACACCCTGCAGCAGATTACTCTTCCTGTAAACAACAACAACAACAACCACAACAACAACAACAACAACCACAACAACAACAACCAGATTACTCTTCCTGTAAACAACAACCACAACAACCAGATTACTCTTCCTGTAAACAACAACCACAACACAGTGAGTGACACAGTGAGTGACACAGTGAGTGACACAGTGAGTGTTAAACCCCATCTTGTGTACACACTGCAGCAGATTACTCTTCCTGTAAACAACAACAACAACCAGATTACTCTTCCTGTAAACAACAACAACAACAACCAGATTACTCTTCCTGTAAACAACCACAACCAGATTACTCTTCCTGTAAACAACAACAACAACAGTGAGTGACACAGTGAGTGACACAGTGAGTGAGTGACACAGTGAGTGAGTGAGTGACACAGTGAGT